CAGGTGGCTTGACTATTCCCAGGAATTTGGGCTTCTATTAGAAACAGGAAAGGAAGCTAACTCTCAACACTATTAAGGAGTAATCAACATCTTATTTACAATAGTAGAGCACACTCTGTAGCTTCCAGACTTCTCCCCGTTAACCAGGCCCTGCCCCACTCCTGCAGCTTCTTTCTTAACCTGAAGGAATGATAAGCATTGAGTCTTGTTAGAAGATAAAAACAGGAGGGGGCCCTCTCTAGCCCTGCCAATCTCTTTCTGGACTCTCTCAGGCTTCCTCTAACCTTCAGGGACCCCAACTCACCCTTGAAGACAAAGTTATAATCTTCCTCGGTTCCATTCCCCATTTTGGCTCCGCATGGAAGGTGCAAGTGTCTTCAGGGGCAGAGGTGACAAGTCTGTGTGCTGTCTCAAAGCCTCCAACCCTCAGCTCTCAAGAGACCTGACCTGCACCGCTCTCATTGGGGGTAAGGAGATCTGCAGCCAGAGGGATTGAGGGCCAACGCAAGGCTAGGCAGGCCTAACGGAGCTCAGCTCTGGCAAGTGGGGGTGCTGTAAGGAAGCTGAGGACGGAAGCTGAGAACAGGAAGAGCAGCGGCTGGTACCTGGGCCCAGGTGGTGGAGAGATGATGACGTCAGACAGGTTAGACAGTTAGTGTTTGCTCTCAGCCTGGGCTCCCACAAGCGGGAGAGCCAGCTCCATGGGGGAGTGGGTTGGAGGGAAGCTTAGGATGACAGGGACGAGACTTTGGAGAGAGCCTGCTGTAGGGGCGACTGTGCATTTGCTGGGCTCCCGGGATCTGTGGAGGAGAAGCCCCACCACTACCGAGTTTCCCGAAAATAGACAGGGTCTTATATTTTATTTTTCCTCAGAAGACACCCTAGGGCTTATTTTCAGGGGTTGTGTTATTTTCCCCTCAAAGCCTCAGCTTGCAGCACGCACAGGATGGCCAGGACCAAGACAGGGGGAGCGACCTTGTTGGTGAGGCCGCCTGCACCTTTCCAGTCACCTCTGGGATAGTAGCTGTCCCGATGCGGCAGATGAGAAGGCTGCTTCTTCCTTCACTGCTGCTCTGCGACGAAATGCATGGGTTGTGCAGATACACTGTGTAGCCACGCCCATCACTAGGTCTTATTTTGGTAGGGCTTATATTGCACAAATGCTTAGAAATCCTGCTAGGCTTATTTTATGGGTAGGTCTTATTTTCAGGGAAACACGGTAGTGAGAAATAAGCCCCTCAGAAAGCCACTTGGCCTCCTGCTTTTTCTGCAGAGCCTCTGGTGCAGGGTACAATGAGGGCACACTCACTCTGCTGCAATGCAGAGCTGTGGGAGCTACATCTTGGCCACAGCAACTTCCGCCCCCCTGACAGCCCCATGGCCTGGGATGGGCAGTGTTTCTCATCCTGGGTGGAGCTGGATTCACAACTACCCACTTCCCTGGGATGAGTCCTTTTTTATGGCACGGGGAAAGGGGCTGGTAGCTTCTATACAGACCTGCTCCAAGGACACTGGTAGGGGAGACTTGGGCAGAAACAGTCAGATGGGGCGAGTGGTCTGAGTGTAGGGGCAGGATCTGGAGATGAAGGCATCGAGAGGTCTGGGATTCTTCTACTCCCTGCCCAGGACCTACTGCCTCACAGCAAAGGCTTCAAGATCTGGAGAGGGTCTGTTTAAGTATATGAGTAGAAAGGCAGCCTAAGCCCACCCAAAGCCTGGAGTGAGGGCACTGAACTCCATGCCCCTATATTCTTTTTGTCCAACATGACCCCCACAGGCCCTTGCTCTGCTGAGCTTACTTCCAAGGTTTTGCCTACCAGGTGGGTAATATACTGCCCTGAATGGCAACAGCTTGGTGAGGTCACACCACGGGAGATGCTAAGGGATTTGGGCACCAGTGCCAAGAACCATTTGGTGGGAGCATGGTGAAGGAGCAGGTGGAAATCCACCCTTGCAGAACACTAGAATCCTATAAGCGATCCCTGCTCCCTCCTATTTCTCCTGATTCCTCCCATCCAAGAAAGTGGCCAAGACAAAAGACAGGAGTTGGATTTATTCTGCAAAAAGCAAAGTCCACCCTCCCCTGATAGTCCAAGGAAGATTTTCCCAGGGTGTCCCTGCCCTCCAGATGGTTATCTCTCTCCTGAACCCAGCTTTTCACTAACGCCATTATGATGCTGCTACTTGGGTGAGGGCTCCTCCAGGTACTGCCACAAGGCCTGGGCCTGTAAGAAGGGAGAGAGAAATCAGTCCCACACATGGCCTGCCACTAGAGGATCCTAAATCCAGGTCTACTCTTTAATTATTTATTTATTTTATTACATTTCAGAATACACTTGAAAGCTGAACAAATTTTCAAGGTATACTTGAAATAAATGAAGGAGTGAGGTGACAGCTGTAGCTCAGAAGTCCATGCATTTGACTTGACTTTATGCAGTGGACACATCTTGGCTCACACTGCAAGCAAAACTAAGTCTATGCACTTAGAGCTCAGGTCAGTCTATCTTTTTTATTTTTGAGACAGAGTCTCACTTTGTTGCCCAGGCTAGAGTGAGTGCCGGCCTCAGCCTGCTCACAGCAACCTCAAACTCCTGGGCTCAAGCAATTCTGCTGCCTCAGCCTCCGAGTAGCTGGGACTACAGGCATGTAGCCACCATGCCCAGCTAATTTTTCTATATATATTCGTTGGCCAATTAATTTCTTTGTATTTATAGTAGAGACGGGGTCTCGCTCTTACTCAGGCTGGTTTCTGAACTCCTGACCCCGAGCAATCTGCCCGCCTTGGCCTCCCAGAGTCGGCCACAAAAAAAACAAAAAACATTTTTTAAAAGTTGTTTAAAAAATGCAGGTTAAAATGGTATGAACAGCATGATACCATTTCTATAAGGTTAAAAAACATGTAAAACAAGACTACAGATGTTGACAGGCATATACATAGATAATAAAAGAACTGGAGCTAAGTGCAGTGGCTAGTGCTTATAATCCCAGCACTGTGGGAGGCTGAGGCAGGAGGACCGGTTAAGGCCAGGAGTTTAGACCAGCCTCAGCCACACAGTGAGACCCTGTCTCTACAAAAAATAAAAAAATTAGCCAAGCATGGTGGCACGCACCTATAGTCCCAGCTACTCAGGAGGCTTAGGTGGGAGGATAGCTTGAGCCCAGGAGTTAGAGGCTGCAATGAGCTATGACAATACCACTATACCGTAGCCCGGGCAAGAGAGCAAGACCTCATCTCTAATAAATAAATAAACAAATAAATGAATGAATGAGTGAATCAGAATGATAAATACCAACTTCAGGGCTCTGGAGAGAGGAAGAGAAGAATAGGATTTAAGAAGGGTATGTGAAGGGTAAAACTCTTCCATAACATCTTATTTGAAAATATTAAATATGGGCCGGTAAGGTGGCTCACGCCTGTAATCCTAACACTCTGGAAGGCCGAGGTAGGAGGATGGCTTAACGTCAGGAGTTCAAAACCAGCCTGAGCAAGATCGAGACCCGTCTCTACTAAAAATAGAAAGAAATTAATTGGCCAACTAAAAATATATAAAAAAAATTAGCCGGGCATGGTGACATATGCCTGTAGTCCCAGCTACTCAGGAGGCTGAGGCAGAAGGATCGCTTGAGCTCAGGAGTTTGAGGTTGTTATGCGCTAGGCTGACGCCACGGCACTCTAGCCCAGGCAACAGAGTGAGACTCTGTCTAAAAAAAAAGAAAATATTAAACATGTCCAGAAAAATATACAAAATAGTAGCAACA